AAAAAAACTCATGTTGAGGCTTAGTTTACCAGAAGAACAATATTGAGGTGGTGGGGCCATTGAGAGAGGTGATTAGGTCTTTAAGTTGGAAAAAAACAGGTTGTTATAAATTGAGTTTAGTTTCCTCAGCTTGTTCCCTTGCATCCTGTCTCACAATGTTATATTTCCCTTTTTCCTCTCTCCCAATATGTGGTGCTATCTAACTTGAGGCTCTCACCAAAAGCTAGACTTGGGCACCATACAGCCAACAGAATCATGAGCCAACATAAACTTCTTTTAAAATATATATTACCTGGCGTCACGTATTTTGTTACAGCAACACAAAATGGAGTAAAAACTTAGCAAATGGCATAGGCTGGGACTAAAACTGAGCTCCTAGCTCACTTTTAGGAGCAATGATGAGGCCACAAAGGGTGACACCTGGAAAGCTGGCCCTGAATACCCGTTTTCCTACTCATATGGATTTAGTTAAAGTTAGGGTCAAAGCCCCAAGGCAGATATTCACTGAGGGTTGTGTTCCAAGATAAGCATTAACCATATGATCCAAGGTGAGTCAGGACTGAGCTATTTTTCTAAACAAGGACCAGCCAAGAATCTCAATTCCTATAGCCAAGCCTACTGCAAGCAGCTGGCTCTCTTGGCTTCTTCTGAACCTACTTCATTGGAAAAGCTGGTCCTCAAGCCATCTTCTAAGCCACAGAGTTCAACATGAACTTATTTACAATTTCATTCACTCATCCAGATGGTTATGTGTGCAACAGTTATGGACTTAGCGCCTACTCCATGCCAGGCCCTGAGCCAGCCTTTGGAGATACAAGGTGGACAAGACCATCAGGAGCTCTACCCTGGTGGGGTTGAAAATGGGGGAAGTAGATATTGGATGAACATGTCAACCAGCAAACTACTACAGACTGTAATATGTGCTGAGAGAGAAAAATAGAGTAATAGTGATAAGGGGGGGAAAAGCTTAAACAGAGCACTATTTTATACAGATCCTGAGATTTGAAGAATGGAAATGGAACTGATAGTGAAAATCCAGGAGAAGAACATCTCAGGGAAAGGAATATCCAGTTCAGAACTTCGAGGCAGGACACGATCAGGGGAGCAGGAAAGAAAGAGTTCAACCTGGCTGAGACGAGGCTGGAAAATAGGAATGGCCCCATGATGGGAACATAGATGCCTCAGAAAGTCACAGAAAGTGACTCCTATGGTTTTTTGCAATAGAAAACCATAGGAGGGCTCATCTATTTTTTTTAAAAAAGCTGACTTTTGGGTGAAGAATGGATTGGAAAGGTCAAGAGTAGAAGGAGAGGATATGGCTTTTCTCCTTGAATCTGTGGACAGATTCAATAGGGTAGAGTCCCTGAGACTGAATACTGAGATCAGGTGGCTGAGTGGGGAGGGAGGGAGAGAAGTGGATAGACCCAAACAAGAAGATGAAATTGGTCTAGTCAGACAGGGACTTTCTGAGGAGAGCCAATCAAAAGGAAGAGGACGAGGACTAAGGATAAATAATGCCCAACTTTGAGACTTGAACAACCAGGTGGGGTCCCCAGTTTCCCTGTGATATTCTCCAGTGGCAAGCATCATGATCTCTTTATTGCATATACAGCCCCTGACTTATGATGGCTTGACTAATGATTTTTCAACTTTACCCTGGTGCCAAAGCAATATGCTTTCACACTTTGAATTTTGATATCTTCCCAGGCTAGCAATGTGTAGCATGATTCTCTCTTCCAATGCTGGACAGGGACAGGAGCCACAGATCCCAGTTAGTCTGTGAAAGAGGACACAAACAATACTCTACACCATGCTGTGCTGGTAAGTCATGACATTCTGTAGGTTAGGTGCACTGGATGCCTTTTCAACCTAGAATGTTTTCAAGTCACGAAGGACTTGAAAGGGTTTATTGGGACATAATCTCATAAAAAATCAATATACAGCTGTACATTCTTCTGAAGATCTTATAAATGAAAAAGCATGCTTTTCACATATTTTTACCTGAATAACATATTCATATACCTACTGGTCTGCATCTAGCCTTGGCCCTCAACAACACATCTTGGAGATCCTTCCTAATCATTTCTTAAAGGATGTCTCACCTTTATGAACATGTTCAGGCTATACCCTTGCATGGATATATGCAACTTCTTTTACCAATCTCCTACTGATTTGGGTTGTTTTAAAATGTTTGACATAGAAAGAAATGCTGTAATGACCATCCTTGCACCACATAAGTCACTTTGAATACACAAGTAAATCTGTAGAATTATTCCTAGAAGCTGAATTGTTGGTCCAGAGCATAGGCATTTTAAATTCTGATATCTACTACAATTGGCCATCCTGCAAAGTAGCACTAATTTACACTCCCACCAGTAGTGATAGGAAGGTGCTATGGTTTGGATATATATAGTCTGAATGTGTCCCCAAGGATTCATGTGTGGAAATTTGATTCTACAGTGAGGTAGTAAGGGGGTGGAAATTTAATCCAATTATAGTATTTAGAGATGGAACCTTTAGGAGGTGAGTAGGATTGGACAGATTCAATAGAGTAGAGTAGAGTCCCTGAGATTGAGTACTGGTGACTTTATAAGAAGAGGGAGAGGGGTTGTAAGATACACACACACAAAAACACATGATGCCTTGTGCCACCATTAGACTCTCCCAGCAAAGAGATCATTGCCATATGTGGGTCCTTGGCTCTTCAGACCCATGGGCAAAAACAAACTTCCTTTTTTATAAAGCCACCCAGTCTCAAGTATTTCATTATAATAACACAAAATAGTTTAACACAGACAGTTATGGCAAGCTGTTTAAACTTTTTATCTTGTACCTTTTAAAAAGAAGACTCCATCATCAAGTTCACAAAATAGGATGTGAAGCCCTGGTATCAGCCCTGGCCTATGGACTTCTAAAACCTCTCCCCTTCTCCAGACAACCAGGCCCTCAATGTAATCTCCATGATACCTTCAATAGGACCTTGGAGCACATGCCACGATCTGGTACTTCCCTTTGGGGAGACTTAAGTAACAACCAGAATAAACCAAACCACAAGAAAAATGTCTGGTGAGGGCTGGGTTAATAGCTTAAAAATTGATTCTGCTGGAAAAGAAATGGCATTTTAAAAACTTAGAAAATGAACCCAAGTGAACTATTACCTGCTCTTCCATTTAAATAAGCCCTGGGAGGACTCCATCCCTATGTTTACTCATGATTAAGAAATCCCTCATGCCATGATGCTATCGATCACTTTCAGAAGAGTGCAACTTCTGCTTCATAAGTAGAACTTTTTTAAGATCAGCTAGATGATATATTATCATTCCTGATGGGTGGATAAATAAGAAGGTAGGTGTATATCCCTGTTGGTGTCTGGAATCCTGGAGTGCCAGAGCTGAAATTAGTGAGGTAACAGACCTCTGGAATGTTCAATGGTGGCTCACACTAGCACACTCTCCCAAAATCAGATGACAGTGGGCACATCCATAAAGGGCAATGGCCACTGGATGCTCCCTAAAGTATTCTCTAGCATTATTAGTCTGCAACTTCATGCAACACCCTGCTTTTGTAAGTGGAAAAACTGAGGTCCAGAGAGGTCTTTAGGGTACACAGCAACAGAACTGCTCATGGAGATTTTTTCGTTGTTTGCAGAGT